ATATAAAATTACACATTAAATAGACTAAAATTCTGTTCTGAAATTGATTTCTTATAATTTTAGATGGAGTTCTTAATACATTTATTATTATTAACCAACTCATTATTATATTTTAATAAAAATTTTAATTTTTTTATAATTAACTCTTTATGTAAATAAATAAATAAAAACTATCATTTAGAAAATATGTTAAATTATTTTTTTAGGTAATTGAACATGGGCATCCTATTCCAAGTATTTAAATGTTTTAGGAAAGAGAAGTAATTATAATTAACCCTTGGGGTTAATTGTGGCTTTACATTAATTATGTTTATTTGCAATTATATCAGCTTTGAGTACGTGTAATTATTAATTTATTTACACGCAAATTACCTTTTTTTTATTATTATTTTTAAAGGAACATTTAGTTGTTTAACATTTTAATGTACATGTAAAAAAGATCTTCAATCTTTATAATAAGCTTTGGAAAAGTTAATACTCACCCAAATAGAACTCAGTCATTATCTCTTGATATATATATATATATATATATATTTTAATTTTAGCAATAAGAATAATATTATTTAAACTTGATTTTCTGTAAAATATGTCAGATGATCAAAAGTAAAATGCACACGTGGATTAACCCTTAATTCTACTACATTATATTTTTATTTAATTATTTATACACCAAATTTAGTCATAGTTTAAGAGATGTTTTAGATTATTTATTTCCTACTTAATTTTAAGAATTTTATATTCACATTTTAATATAAAACGTATAGTGCATATGAGTTTTTAACATTGACTTTAAAAATATAGATTTAATTATCTTGTTGTTTCTTTTTTAATAACTTACTTAATTATCTTTTTAATATCTTATAAAAATTTAAAATGTATACGTAAACCAATATGAATAGTAAAATATTTGTAATAAAAAATATATATTTATTAAACATAACAACTTAATTTGTGGAATCCACTTCCTATTGAAATGATTAACTATTTATTTTTAAATAAAAAAACTACATGCTTTTAAGTAACTTAAAGTTTACCATCTTTAAACACATTTCTTCAAATAATTCAAGCCATCAGTCTTGCACATTTGATGCATATATATAATTTTAAAAACCTTATTATTATCTTCAATTCTAAAATAATATATTTTTATTCTCTGTTGACTAAATTCATCTAACTTGGATTGAATATGAAATTAATTTCAAATTAAATGCAATACTCATTTAATTTTTTTTTATCACTTTTGTGTTCCGTTCTCCTTATTTCATAAAACTATAATTGAATTCAACTTGAACATACCAATTTTTTTTTTTTTTTTTTTTTTGTGAAATTTTAGCACTAAAATTAATAGAATTAAGTAATATTTTCGTTTGTTACGTGAATAAACTAGATGACAGATTGTAACAAACTATAGAAATTGGCAATAAATATATACACACAACTGTTATATGGTTAACATGTCTGTTTGTTTTTTTTTCTAATTTAAATGTAATAATTTTTTTTATTTATAAAATTTTTATAAATAATTAATTTTATTAAATTTTTTAAAAAAATAAATTAAGAATGAAATTGAAAGAAATTTTGAAAAAAATTCGGTAAGTGTTTTTAAAAGCAAAATTAAAAATATAGAGTTAAAATGCAAAAGGAAAGAAGTTTGATCACGTAGGATGATCAAGTCAGCAGCGCCGGTGGATCAGAGCACGCCGCGTGACAACCCTGCTGACATCGGCATCACACGGAAAGCCACGCGAGCGATCCACGTGCCTGACAATCCGACATCCCAAATCTCATCCCGCGTGCTTGAACGGTTCAGATGCATTCTCCATTTGGATACGATCGGGCAGATGAGATCAATCGCGATAAACGGTCCAGATTTATCAACACAATCAATCTAAACAGACAACGATTGGACGGTTCTCCTTGTTCCACGTCGATGCGAACGGATGACCCAGATCGATACGAAACGGGTATTTAAACATCACGTATCAGAGAACCCTAACCCTAACCGCACATGTGCTCGTTGGAGAACAAGAACCAGATACTAGAGAATGAGACCAACCCCCGGCTGTCATCGCACCAGAACCACTGTCGACTGTCAAAAAAAATAAAATTTTTCCTTATCGCTTGGAATTCGATTTCAAATCTCCCTGTAACTGCATCAGAGCAAAAATTATAACAGATTAGCCAAAAATCGCAAGTAAAGCTCGGTAGAGTCGATGTGGCCAAAATCCTAAAACTCTTCCGATGAGCCCATTTTCGTTTCTCATTTCATACGATTCTTTGATCATTATATTCACCGTCACTTTCTATACATGGTTACCGAAAAATAAATCTTAACCGTGAATGAGAACCGGCAGAATCACAACGCTCGGAAATTCCACTGCCGGTAGATTCGATTTTTTTTTTATTTTTATATACTTTTATTAAAAAATTATATTATAATTAATATATAATGATAGTTCAAATTTAATATACTATAACATAATAAAAGAGCATATGCTTCCTCTATCTAACAAACACACCATGAAAAATCAATGTAATCCATGTATACATTGTGGAACAATTCAATGCAATATCATGAAATTGGGAAAGCAATGATAAGAGATGTTTTATCCTTGATGATATGTACTTGTCTTGGCTTTGTTGGTACATTAAAATATCACAGTTCGACTTCACAAAATTCCGACCAAATTACCGAAGTTGTTTCTCATAACTTGATTGTCAACTATTTGCTTGTACATTCCAAACTTACAATTATTTCAACAACTTTGAAGTTTAAATCATTAATTTTAAAACAATTAAACTTAAATTATTAATAATTTATTACTTAACTCTTATATAAAATTTAAAAATCAAATATATTTCTTATAGGAGAGTTACATAGTGCCTATAGACCCAAAATCACTATATCTGGCTACATTTATTCAGGGGCCATATTGGTAAGGAAAAGTCCATTCAACACATTTCTATATTTGCCTTTTACATGAAAAAGACCCAACCAGAATAAAATCTCAGTTAGACTCAGTAAAACTCTGAACATTAATATTAAATTCATTGCTGATGCCAAAAAATATGTATAATATACCGCTAGAACATAGAGGCGAACCTACTTCTGGCCTAACTAAGCATTTCGGTTTCCATGTTCTTCCATGGCTTTTGCTTAACATAATGGTGAAATATTATCTACGAGTTAACCTCGATACATGCAAGCTCTAGTTTGTCATGAACCCAGAATTCAAGTAGAAACAACTTCTCAACCTCCCCAAGCTTAGCTCTCATTTCTCGTAAATAATAATTGCCGGTCATAAAACCATGAGCTTTCCATTTATATTATACATGAAATAGTACAGAGCTTCCATTATTCCGCGAAAAGATATACAGCATCTTTTCAAACTCAAGCAAATTGTCAGCTCAAATAGTATATAAATAAAATCGCTTGATCAGTAGTACATACCAGAAAGACTGAGGCAGCGTGATGCGAATTCAAAAGCAGTGCAAGCTTTGAAATAAAAAAATATGCAGCAGCAGCCACGAATGTCTAATGATATTCAGCATTGAGATTTCTACCCTCTGAAATTTATAACCTACAAACTTTGGAGCTCGACCTACCTACAATCTTATATATATGGTAACAAATTTACAAACAAATAAAGAATGCTAATTCTCTTGAAACAATGAATCACACAACATATTGAACTTGATACCTCATAGATTCGAACTCCAAGAACCAGCCAAGATGTCTCAAAATGCATTCTTGTGATGCCCTTTCTAGCAAGGCCCACTAGACATATCAGCAAATCTTAGACCATTACAGATTCTATTTCTCCAGTTGATCCACCGAAAAAATCAGCATATGATTTCCATCTGCCTTTGAATTAATTGTTGCTACCTTGCACATAGAACATTGAGCAATATATGAGCTAACATTAAGTCCACAAAGTAGTAATGCCCGATTTCCCCATCTCTCCACTTCATCTTTGCCGGAGCTCTGCCATAATGCACTCCATCATTGCACCGGTTATCATAATGCCAAGGATATGTCATATCAAAGTTATCTATCACTGCAGAAACCAATCCTGCCATTTTCATTTTCTCCAAGAATACCCCATTGAATGCCTCAATTTTATTAGGGTTAAAGGCAAGAGTTCGAGCATATCCACCCGTTGCTATTGTGTGACGGTAAATGATTTTTGGAACCTTCAATCCCCTCTGCCTTATTGACTCCATAACATCTTTCCAGAATGAGGCTGCATAGTCTGCTCCTTTTGAAAATGCTCTTATATTAGGCCAATGAACACCATCATGCAAGCCGGAGTTGATGATCACTGTATCCGGAACAGTCCCTTCGGAGAAGTATTTCTTCAACAAATTTCGAAATCCTTCGTGTCTCAAGGAATCCAAACCTAGGTAATTCTGTGTCTCATTCCAATGACCATTGAAAATGCTAGTTATTCGAACTGACTGAGAAAGGTCTTTGTGGTTTGTAAAGTTCATGTCAAATCTTCGAGGAACAGATGGTATTTCAGGCAAATCCAAAACAAAATTCAGCATGTTCCTAATGGTATCAACATGATTTGAATCGCCCCAAAAGAAAATCCACCTGTTCTTCAAACAATCCCAAGCTGAATCAGTTGAAAACATCTTAAATGAACAATGAGTAGAGTACACCCAGCCATTACTCTCCAACAATCCTAATGAACCATTACACCATGGACTATGACATGGAAAATCCGGCGGCAGGCACCGGTATCTTCCATCATTGCTAATCTGACAATCATCATTCTTTCCATGACGGGTCCATCTCCCGGACCAAATATCTCTAGTGAAATCAGATTGTTTACAAACTGTAATTTCTGGTAATTTAGCTTCAGTTTTGTAAAATTTGATACGAATGCGACGTAATTCCTTATCAAAACCAAACCGTTGAGGCGA